GGAAACCCTGTATAGGTCGGATCCTACTTGACGGCACTTAACAACAACAACAAGAAGTAAGAATTGACTCCAAGGCACATCACAACAATCTTTATGGAAGCAGACTGCCAAATCTTTTTTCCCATGGTACATTTGGTGGTTTCAAACCACTGACATTTTGGTTAGCATCCTAAATTAACCATTGCACCACCTGGGCCAATTATATTTTCTGCAATGAAGATCAGAACCTTTAGATTTAAAGGAATACTACGTTTTAAGAAAAAGTAACATGCAATGATAAAAATCAAGAAAGATCCTGGTTACACAACCAAAGTATGATAACTCATGAGTGAGCATATGATTAAATGTTGATGTCAGCATCCATAAACATCTCCAATAAGCATGTTTGGCTTCTGCTTCTCTTTGAACTAATGCTGTGTTTTGATTGTAGAACAAAGCTTTGAAGTGTTACTTGGCATCTCTTCCATTAAGCTCACCATTCAAATAGCAAATTTGGTAAAATAATACTTAGGTTGTGTTTACTGCTTTCCGCCACTTGGTCATCTTTGTTTGAATCCAGTGGTTCTTGTTTTCATTTTAGAATGTTTTGTTGGTGTTTTTAAAACAGTTTTTAGCTGATGCTCTGGAAGAGTAATGAGTACTTAAAACTGCTGCTAATGAAAGGAAACCCGATCTAAGAAGGTGCATTTCTGTACCAGAGCTGTGTCACACCATGAATTAAAGAACTAAATGTAAAACCTAGAGTTATAAGATCATTAATGAAAAAATATGGACAACCTTAAAGGCTTTCATGCATGGTATACGTACACAATCAAACACTACAAAAAACACTCAAGCAGTAGAAGACGAGAAATAGATGACTGGGACCTTCTGAAAGTTAGAAATTTATACGTATCAAAATATTTTGCCAGAAGAGTAAAAAAGGGAGTGCACGGAGTAGGAAAATAATTTACAATAACATATCAGACAAAGGACTAATCTCTCAAAGTTATATAACACTATAACACCTCTAGTGGTTACGAATCGGGCTGTGAGCCGCAAGGTCAGCAGTTCGAAACTACCAGCTGTTCCACAGGAGAAAGATGAGGCTTTCTGCTCCCGTAAAGATTGACAGCCTCGGAAACCCTGTACAGGGTCACTATGAGTCGGAACCGACTCCACAGCACATAACAACAACAACAACAATAATACCTCTACAAGAAGAAGACAAAAAAACAACCCAATTAAAAAATGGGCACAGAATATGAACAGACACTTCAACAAGGAAGACATTCTGGCAACTAACAAACATAAGAGGAAATGTTCACGTTCTTTAGCCATTTGTTGTTGTTGTTCAGTGCCATCGAGTCAGTCCTGTATAGGATTTCTGAGGAGTGGCTGGTGGGTTTGAACTGCTAACATTGCAGTTCAAACCAACCTTGCAGTTTAGTGCATTATCCTGAAGTGTCATACAACTCCATTGTTGTTGTTAAGAACCGTGGAGTCAGTTCTAACTCATAGTGACCCTGCACAGGATTTCCGAGGCTATAAATCTTTATGGGAGCAGAAAGCCCCATCTTTCTCCTGTGGGTTTTGAGGTGAGCAACCTGATTCGTAACCACTACACTACCAGAGCTCCTTAGGACTCCAATGGTGGCTGGTTGTGTGCCGTGGAGTCGTTTCTGACTCATAGTGACCCTGTACAGGGTTTCTGAGGCTGTAAATCTTTACGGGAGCAGAGAGCCTCCTCTTTCTCCTGTGGAACAGCTGGTAGTTTTGAACTGCTGATCTTGCGGTTCGCAGCCCAATTCGTAACCACTACACTAACAGAGCTCCTCTAGGACTCCATTAGAGAGATACAAATAAAAACAACAATGAGATACCATTTCACATCTGCATTAACAGCAGAGTTCAAGAAAACAACAAATACTGGCAAGGCTGTGGATCCTTGGGACCCTCCCACATTGCTTTGGGATTGTAAAAATGGTTCAACCACTGTTGAAAATGATATGGCTCAGAAAGATGGAAATAGAAATACCTTATAACTCCAGCAAACTCTGTATTTGAGATATACCCCTAGAAATATGAGGCATGATAAAATTTTGAAAGACCAATGACGTATTCATTACAAATACTTTTTTCCTACTATATAAGTGGCGTTCATAGACATGGACATTACCAGATAAAATACACAGGAATCACATTAATGATAGGGAAGAAACATTGAAGAACCTTCATATCATCAGCTAAAACCACCAGTTGTTCATATGCAATTTTAGGCTGAAGTTTAATAAAATTAAAACAAGTTCGCAAAACCCAAAATAACACCTTGGGAATACATCACCTGAATTTAGAATCCATCGCAAGAACAGATTTGAAGCATTGGGCACTAAAGACTGAAGACCTGAGGAGTTTTGGAATGACATCACGAGTATTATACATTTGCATTATGGTGTTGGAGAAGAATATTGAAAGTGTCATGGACTGGCGGAAGAACAAACAGATCTGTCTTGGACGATGTACAGCCAGAATGCTCCTTATAAGTGAAGATGGCTGTGGACATCTCTTGTACTTTGAACATATTGTCAGGTGGGACCCCTCCCTGGAGAAGAACATCATGTTTCGGAAAGTGGGGATCAGCAACAAAGAGTAATATCTCCGAGATTGATTGGATTGGCACAGTCAGGGGCAGCTACAGTAGGCTCAAACATAACAACTGTGAGGATGAAGCAGGACTGAGCACTGTTTTGTTTTGTTTTGCATAGGGTTGCTGTGAGTTGAAACTGACTCGCTGGCACCTAAGAACAACAGCAACAACAACAAAAACAGTTTTATACTAATTATTTTATTTCTTTATAAATTTAGTTTTGCAGGGTGAGGAGGAGAGTTCAAATAGAAGATATATGAAGCTTCGTAAATAAGTAGAATTAAAGATTGACATTTGAGGTTTTTTGTTTTTTATGTGTTGGGGAGTTGGTTCTGACTCATATCGACCCTTTATAAGGTGTTGAAAGGATCAACTGGTGGATTTGAATTGTTGACCTTGTGATTACCAGCTCAACATATAACCCACTATGCTACCAGAATGCCTTAGCATATAGTATGTTCCAAATAATAAATTCTACAGCTTTTACCAAAAATAGAAGTTAATTGAAAAGAACAAATAAAAAAATAAGTTGTATACCTATAAAAAGTTGAATTGGCAAAAGTTGTGTGATAGATATATTTATAACAGTGACAAAAAAGGAAGAATAGCTGCGGAGGCTACTTATACAGCCGAACACCTCGTGATATTTGGGAGATGATCTCATGATCTCATTTCAGTTAATGCTCTGTGTCTTTGAGTATTTTATCAAACTCTTACCCTTGTACTGCTTAAAGAACATATAATAAGTATTTGGAGGTTTAGGGTCATGGTTTCCTGGAGCATCCCAGTTAACTGGTCTAGTAATATGTTTAGTGTATTTGTGTAATGCCTAGGGACTTAAAACGTGCAAACTGCCGTCCAACACACAACAGTTGGTCTCTGTTCACCTGAAACAACAGAGGAAGTAGAATTAGGAATTGTTGTTGTTAAGTGCCATCGAGTCGGGTCAGAATTAGGAATAGGAGTAGGAAATAGAATGTGTGACTAATTGACTTCTTTGCCATCAGACCGCTGTTACTGAACATTTTGATGAAAGATTCCACAGATGAATCCTGATTAAAAGGGGGAGCATATGGAATAGAAATTAAAATTCTGATGGATTCCAGAATTTCTGGAGCCATAGAGACTCAATAACCCCCCAAAACTATTGGCCTAGGATAATCTTTAAACCTTCAACCAAAACTATCCTCTGAAATTATCTTAAAACCAAACAGTGATTTAACTTAACTAGTAAAGAATGTCTGCCTGGAGCATTATGCTCATTTAAGATCTATGTATATGGGATCAAATTGGTATCAGTGACTTGAAAGATGGGAATCTAGGGGACAGTGGGTTTATGTTAGAGGGGGGAGGAGCAATGCAGAAATGGAGCGTGAGAATAGTTGCACAACTTGTAGAATGTAATCACAGTTATACATGAGTTATACATGTGCAAGCGGTTGAATTGGTGTTTGTTTTGCTGTGTATATTCTCAACAAGAACAATACAAGTAAAATGAATGATAAAAAACCAACAAGAAAAATAGGCTAGTTGTTGAATGCTGTTGGGTTGATTCCAACTAACAGCAACCCTATATGATAGAGTAGAACTATCCCATTGGGTTTTGTGGATGGTTAATCTTCATGGAGGAGTCCTGGTATGGCGCTGTGGGTTAATGCGTCAGACTGCAAAGCTGTTTGGACAGCAAGGTTGGCGGTTTAAGCTCACCAGCTGCTCCTTGGAAACCCTGTGCAGGGTTGCTGTGGGTCGGAACTGGCTCGACAGCAGTTAACAACAACAACAATCTTTACGGAAGCATCTCACCAGGCCTTTTCTCCCATGAAACTGCTGGTGGATTTGAACCTCAGTCCTTTTAGGTAGCAGCTGATTGCCTAACCATTGTGCGTCCTGGCCTCCTAAATACAGACATAGGGACTGACTGAAATGTGAAATTCTCATGGTCATACTTCAGTTACAATTTCATAACTTAATGTATTTTTCTGTGTTGGAAATCAGATATTAATTTTGGAGGAAAAAAATCTTTAACTTGTCTTTGATGATTATTGAATGAATGAGTATATGTATCTGCCCGTACCTATTATTTTCCCTTACTTAAAGATCTCGCTTAAAAATGTAAACCTTTTCTGTTTTCAGGGGAAGTATTACAAATGGAAGATGATCTCGTGATCTCATTTCAGTTAATGCTGTGTGTCCTCGACTATTTTATCAAACTCTCACCCCCTGCACTGCTTAAAGAACCATATAGTAAGTATTCAATCATTCATGCTCCTTATTTGTCATTCAGCAGTTTATTGAATGTCTACTAGGTACAACAGCATAGTTGTAAAGCTGAGAGGATGATAAAAAAGTGAATCAGACATGAAACCTGCCCTCAAGTAGCATAAGATGCAGAAAGAAACATACGTATGCAGATAATTAAAGTGTATAGTAGAAAGTGGTCTAGGCCAAATGAAAATGCTGTGGAAGGGAGAAAATTATTACAAATTGGGAAGACTAAGGAAAATCATTTGGAGGAGGTGCCATTTGAATTAAGGGCTGGGGAGTAATTAGAATTTAAATGTTGTAGGAAATTGGGGAGAAAATCAAGAGTCAAGGCATATAAATAAGTAAAACTGAATGGTAAAGATTGGCCAATTCTGTTGGGATATTTGTTGTCAAGTGCTGTCTGAGTTGGTTTCAACTCATAGCGACCTTGTACTGTGTTTCTGAGGAGCAACTGGTAGGTTTGAACTGCAAATCTTATGACTAGCATTCCAGTGCTTATCCTACAGAACCATACCAGGACTCCACATGGATAGTGTTTTTGTTAAGTGCTGTCAAGTTGTTTCTGACTTTATAACGGTCCTGTGATGAGTGGCTTGTGAGTTTGAACTGCCTACTTTGCAATTCAAACTAACTTTGGGGTCCAGTGCTTATCCTATAGTGCCACACCAGGATAGTAACTCAATTAAGTTTTTATTAGTATTATACACCATGTTAAGGAGCTCTGGTAGCGTAGTGGTTACGAATCGTGCTGCGAACCTCAAGGTCAGCAGTTTGAAACTACCAGCTGCTCTGCAGGAGAAAGATGAGGCTTTCTACTCCTGTAAAGATTTACAGCCTCAGAAATCCTGTTTAGGGTCGCAATGGTTCGGAACTGACTCTATGGCACTTAACAACAACAACAATATGCCATGTTAACTATGTGACTAATTTTTCTTGAATATCAACTGTAATTGATACTAACTTCAATGAGGGATGAGAAGGGAAATGCTTTTAAATAAAAATAGCAACTATTGCTAAAATAATTAGATAACATTAAGCAAAAATGAACATATTCCCTAGAAGGGAATTGCTCCTTTGATTTCAAAATTATTTGTGATACCACAGAAAAATGTAGTATTAATTAGTGATAAGGCTAATTCCTTGCTCCTGAAATTATGCAAGCTATAATAATATGATTAATGATAAAGGAGGATCAAAGCATGCAAGTCTCAAAGTGTTGTTGAAGTGACTGAAAGACTGAAACCTGATTATCCTTGTGAGTAATAAATTAGTGGAACAGTGAAGTCTGAAGTAGAATTTAAACAATATGTAACATGGTTTTTCAGGAAAATCAGGTCATTTAGCAGAGAGAAGACTGCCTTGGTAGGAGGTAGAGAGGAATGGTTAATGCACTCAGCTTCCAATTGAAAGATTGGTAATTAAAGTCTCCTTGGAAATAAGGCCTGTTGATCTACCTCTAACAGTCAGTCATTGAAAATCCTATGTATGATAACAAAAGCATGAGCAACAAAAGATAAAATAAATGAGATCTCATAAAAATGAAATAATTTTAATCATTAAAGAACTTTATCAACAAAGTGAAAAGACAAATTGGGAGAAAATTTTGGGAATCATATCTAATAATGATCTAATATTCATATTATATAAGAAATTCCTACAACAACCCAATAAAAAACTAGGCAAAAAACGAACAGACATTCATCAAGAGAGTATTCAAATGGCCAACAATCACATGAAAAGATGCTAAGCATCATTAGCCATTGTTGGTAAGGGCTGTTTTGTCAGTTCTAACTCATAGCTACCCTGTATAGGGTTTTCAAGGAGCAACTGGTGACTTTGAGCCTTTGATCTTGTGGTTAGCTGTCCATTGCTTATCCTGTAGCACCATACCAGAACTTCATCATTAGCCATTGTTGTTGTTGTTAAGTGTCGTTGAGTCAGTTCTGACTCATAGTGACCCTGTATAGG